TGGCGTCTGCACATTCCCTTTCACACTGGGCCAGTGAGGAAGCTGTCGTGTATCGTCTGACGAATGGTTTACGGACTCTCGTGTGGGGACCAACTTGGCGAAAGTTGTCCTGTTCGTCGCATCTGGACACCAATGGCGGTCGACCGATGATGGGACCACCACTGGTGCCGAAAGGTCGTGGATTGTATACTCCACCTTCGCCTATGTAACCACCACCGATTATTCCACCTTCGTTGTAACCACCGTAGCCTAGAGGACGTGTGGGCCCTCCTACGCCATAGGGATTACGGTCTGGATGTGCCTGAGGATGAGCCTGGGAACCATATACGTCGTCCACAGGGTAAGTTGGAGAGTATCCTCCGTGTGATGAAGGTGGAAATCTGTTGTAGACGAATTGTGGTTAGAAAGATTGAATGATAACTGATTTCTGAGAAAATAAAATATTTGTAACTTGGAAGATAGAATAAATAATTATGTAAAACAATTAAAGTTATACATTTAGTAATTGAATAAAAAATTTTGTGGAGGAATAAGTTGCTTGTAATTTGGAATATAGGGCAAAATAATTAAATTATTTAATAAGATTGAAAGTATATATAGTAATAAGATAGATTTTGTGCAGATGTAAATTATTACTTGTAACATAAGATGGATTAATTAATTGGAATAGTTGAAAGAATATATTGGATAAAAGATTTTGTGAAATAGTGATAGAAATTCAAAACAAAAGATAAATTAATTGAGATAGTTTAAAAAATGCGTATATTGAAATATTATATAAATTATTTTTACAATTTTAACAATTGTTCTTCTTTAAAAAGATTCTCTTCGATCAACTTACCGATTAGGATAAATATCCTTGTCAGGATACCTTTCACTAACGGGATACCGATCAAGAGGAGGTCTGGCACCTCCCAAACCCGATGGATATCGATCCAAGGGATCCTCAGGAATAGGATATCTGTCTATGGTATTAGGATATCGATCATTATCGGTTGGATAACGACCTGGAGATATTGGATATCGACTACCAATTCCACTAGGATATCTACTACCACTTGTTGGATATCTGTCTATTCCAGGATCAGAAATAGGATATCGGTCAGGATGAATAGGACGGCGATCACCACCTCTGTTTGGATATCGATCAGGAATTGGATACCTGTCTGAAGATGGATACCGATCTATTGTTGGATAACGATCGTTAACAGGGAAACGATCACTGATAGGATATCGATCTATAGGATCTGGAAACGTATCACCTGCTGCTCCAATTGGATATTGCCCATTCAGAGGATACCTATCTGGATATCTATCTGCTGGATAACGATCTGGATAACGATCTGGATAACGATCTGGATATTTATCGGCAAATTTGTCGGGATATTTAGAGGGATAACGATCTGGATATTTGTCAGGATACTTATCAGGATATTTGTCGGGATATTGATCCGGATATCTGTTAGGATATCGGTCTGGATAACGTTCTGGATAACGATCTGGATATCGTTCTGGATATCTGCTAGGGTATCGATCTGGATAACGATCTGGATAACGATCCGGATATCGATCTGGCTTCACACTGCTGCTGAATCCTTTGTCGTAATCTTCTGGATAACCTGCGTAGAGACAGGAAATTTATTTTTATTGGAATGTTTGATAATTTTTAGTTTTTAGATCGTGACTTATATAGTGTTTCTTAATTAAATATGACAAAGAACTATTATACAAATAATATACAATATTATATATAAATTGAATTATAACAAGATGGAATATTAAATTTTTTATTAATTTACCGGGTCTCCCTAGAGAAGGCCGACCAAAATTCGTGTCCTGTCCCAAAGGATCTGGTCTGTACCCTGGACTGTCTCGATCTCCATCCAAATATTGATCTATTCATATAATCGTTAATATTATGAAAAAATATATGAACAATTCTTATAGCTTATCGTGCTCAAATTTCCGATATTTTATCATTTTTTTCTTGACAAATATTTTATTCTCTTAGTCGTCGTAGAGACGAAATTATATTTACCATTCGTAAAAATAACAAGAAAAAGATTAAATTATAAAAAAAAATATTTTATTCTAAACTATTTATTAATATATATAAACTCACGCATAAGATTCTCGTAATAATCGTATTCTGCATCGTAGATGATCCTGCGCCCGTCTCGTTGGTTGAACCGGCTCAATTGACACGTGTGAAGATGTTCGGAGTACACGGCACTTCGACATTGGAAGCTGGTTTGTCGAAGACACTCGTCAAGGCACTCGCTCAGACTACGTCCAGTTATCTCAGAATGAAATTCAGTGCTCAAACGAGAATTTCGATAACGCTGGAACGCTGTATCTGGTCGTCGCCCATCGGAGAAAAGATGCGACGAGGGGCTGCTGTCCGGATATTCGGAGCCACGTGCTATGGATGGATCTACGCTTCGTAAGTGGATATTGGTAAAGTGTCGTAAAGTATTAATCGTTTCACTATTACTTTACTTTGGACTTTGGAAAATAAATAAAATCCTTTTTTCTCAAAGTTTGAATTTAGAAATTATTGTTTTATTGTTAAAAAATAAAATGTTTTAATGTTTTAGATTGATATTTATGTTAGAATTTTATATTTTTGTGTTTAGATTGTACATTTAGTAACATAAATGTTTATTATAATTTGATTTGTATAATTCTAATGATTAAATTTTTGGTGTAAATTAATGGATGAATTATGAAAAATTTTGAATGAAGTCACTGATAGTATAGATATACTTACGATTATCCAAACAAACAAGATCATAGAAATGGTGGCTGGGGCTGCTGCTTATTCCGATATCATCTTTTTGAGAAACGGAATCTTCTTCAGAAATGACACATTGCCTGGTTTGCTCGTCGAATTCGACGCTTCGACAGAAGTATTTCTCTGCTCTGAGACAAAGGGCTTGACACTCGTCTAAGGTAAGATTCGTATAAATGTCGACTTCGAATGGTCCTCGAAGACGTTTGTTCTCTTCTTTGACGAATACAGTTAACCCATCGCAACGACGTTCCGCTGAAAAATTATAAAAATTTGAATTTCTTCGGTCAAAAGTAAATTGTAAAAATTCAAGTTAGATAATTTAAATACTTTTTTTATTAATTATGAAATCATTAATTTTCAGAAAGAAATATAATATTAATTGTAAGCACCATTTAAACAAGTATTTTCAAGGTAATCAGAATTTGGATCATCCTCTAATAATTCAGGATGCGTTCTTCTAGTAAAACGACTCAGAGCACAGCTTCTTAGAGCAGTGTCGTAGGTTGCAGATCGACAAATGAAACTGAACTCGTTCAGACATCTTCAAAATGTAACAAATTTTTAATTATATTAAATTTAATATAAATTTAATCATATATATATTTTGTTATACCTATCCTCACAGTCTGTTCTATTTGCTGCACTAACTTCCTTGATATCTGTTAATGGCAATTTCAGTTTCTTCCTGGGATGTCTCTCGTAAACATAACGCCGATTTGGACATTCTCTTTCTATCCTATCAGCTTCACAAAAGAATACGAACATTGAAATATTTAATCAGAAAGAGGTACAGAAATTTATTTTCTTTTAATTAAATGAAAGAATAAATTTAATTAATTTATATAATTTTATCAATGAGTTAATTAATTTTTTTTCTATAAAGTTAAAAATTATTGAGAAAGAATTATTAAGGAAATATCTTACAGCCAAGACAAACTTCTGTAAAATGAACGCTGTTTGGCACCAGCATTAGATTTCCAATTCCTTCTGGTTGTGCCTGTTCCCTTGTTAAATAGCAAGTGCTTTCTTCATATTCAGCAGCTCCGCTGAAAGAAGCTATTCTGCTACCAGGTTGAAAATCGAAACTCGTGCAAGCACGAACTAAATTGTTTGTTGCTGTTCTATCCCGTAAACATAATTCTTGACATTTTTCCAAGACTCTAAATGGTGGTGCAGAGTCTCGTACCTAAGATAAATTAATTATTAACTAGCAGGAATAATATTTTTAGATAATTTATTATAATTATTGTCTTTACGAAAAATACAATATTAAAATAATTTTTTTTTTAGAAAAACTGATTTTATTGTAAAAGAAAATAATTTTTTTTTAAAGAATTTTAATAATTTTAATCACAAATAAGGAAAACTTTCAAAAATTTGTTCATCCACATTTCAAATTTCTTTGTTTCAAATTATAATTTTAATGTTTATTAAATACTAGAAAATTGCAATAAGAAAATCCATCATTTTAGTTACAAGGTAATTATTTCAAACAAAGATCATCCTTTTTGCAATTACAATAAACCAGTATAATTTTAAAATTCTTTCATCCCTCTAGATCCGTCAGATTTTACCGCTACACAAAACTGCATTTCAAGCTTTTAGAATAGTTTTCTCGAGCTAGGTTGAATATTTGAAAACCGGCGTCGACACGGCCAGAGAGATAGGTAAATATTTCGCGAAACATTTTATACCACATCATCGTCGAAACCCTGAAGCTGTTGGTCCGGAAGTCTTTCGTAAACGACTCGACCCAAACCGCCATTACACGTTGTTTGTCCTGAAAACACACCAATTCTTTCGTTATTTCGTCTATTTACGTTCAATAGTCGACCATTTTCGTCCCTCTTTTATTATTTCTTTCTCGTTATTTTCTCATAAATGGATATTATTTATTTCCTCTTCTCTCCTGTAAAAATCAGGTTACTTCCTTTGGCCACCGATGCAGTCAGATTTTATCATTTTTTTTTTTTTTCCTCCTTTTTTTTCGTGTCATAAGTGGCACGTATG